TCGGAGGGCAGCGCCCAGCACCGTCCCCAACCGCAGACGAGAACGCTGAGACCGGAGGAACCGGCCCGGGCACCCGGAGCCATCCCGCAGGCACTCGGATGTGAGCCTGGTTCTATGGGATTCCAAAGCCCGCGTTTGTCTCACTGGCCCCATTGGCTCCAAAACCAAGTCCAACTCCGCCGTCCACTGGGGCATCCGGCAGCCCTGCTCCCAGGGAGGACGGCGACCCGGGGTCAGCCAGGGTCCGACCAGGCCGAGCGAATCCGCTCTGAGTCTAGCAGGGAACTAGAGGGACCTGGCTACATGGCGGGTAAAAGAGGGAAGAAGAAGCTGCCAGGAGGCAAAAACAAACAAACCAACAAAAACAACAGAGATGGCAACTTCTCTCACTAGGCTGGAGGAACGAGGGGAGGAGGTGATGCTATCAGACCCGGCTCCGGCTCCGCTGAGCGGCCGGACCTGGGGCCCCAAAGCAAGCCAGGGCGGAGGTGCTGTCAGCTGTGGGAGAAACCCCTGGGCCCGCACGGGGAGCCTGAGCTCCGCAGCCCGGGGTGGCCAACCCTCCTGTGACACAGGGCAGAGCAGGGAGAGAGAAATGGCTGCCCGAGCCAGGACCGCACAGGCTGTCCATCCGGAGACTTCGAGGGGAACAGCTCCCTTTGCCCTGATTCCGGGCCGCTCAGCAACTGGCCGAGCTCTAGTCTGGTCTCTGGGGAACTAGCCTTGCGGGAAAAACGACAGGGTACTCGCCCTGACGAAATCTCCCGACACTGACCGCCTGCCCGGTCAGCCTTGATTAGGAACCGGGACTCAGAACCTTGTGTCCTGGGGGTCAGCTGACAAGGACTCCTCTTCCCCCCTACCTCACCCTTCTCCTTCCTGGGCCTACAAAGCTGAGGCTGCAGGGTGTAGGTTCCCACTGGCTCTGGGGAGCCACCGGTGAGGAGCAGACACCCCGTAAGGGCCAGGTTGGAACAGCCCCCTGCCTCGATCCCCCCACACATTCTTTGGGAATGGGCACGTGCTGTAATATCACTTGCCGTTTGGCGATCCAGAAGCGCCAAGAATCCTGCTTAGGACCTAACCAAATCCCATTAGGGAACACTCCTAAAACAGGACACCAAACCCCTCCCAAGCAAAGACAGGGGCAAAGTCAGGTTCATGGAGTGGCTGTTATGTGGGACCTGAGACCAGCACAGCCACGATCCAAAAGTGTGGGATCCGGGATTAACCATGACAATTAACAGCCACCGCGTGTCTGGCATTCTGTGAGTGTCTGACTCTATGATAAAGGTTTATAGCTATTAAGTCATTTATCCTACAAAGACCCAGTGAGACACTTATTATGATCCCTACTTTGTAGCTGTGAAAGCCGAGGATCAACTATATAAGAACACTGCCCGGGTCAGAGGGGTAGTGAGTAGCAGGGGCAGGACTGGAACTCAGAGAGACCTGAGTCCAGAGCCTTTGCTCCTAAACGCCACAGAGCTACCCGGCTTCCACGGCCCTGCCTGACTTCCCGGAACCCACTGAGAGCTGCCCACACAGTGAGAGGAGCCGGGGGCAGCCAGCCCTCCACGGGTCATCGTGCACCCATGAGCACTAAGTTCCAAGAAGGCGACTCCAGGGCATAAATCTGGGCTTCAGCTCAACAATCTAGAGTTGGAGACAATGAACTGAGGTCCCAGCGGCCAGGCCTGCTCAGTCACGTGGTGCTTGGCCACGCTGGCCCTGTGCCAACCCCGCTGGCCACTGGCATTTTGTTCTGGAACCCAGAAGGCTTCAGGATTCAGACCCGAGTAAACCCCAGCCCCCATGGCACACCCCGCCGCCAGTTACAGCCTGGCCAGGGGACCCCATCACAAACTGACCCCAAGCCCTGGCCCGTGGCGCGCTCCTCATCCCGTGACTCATTCGGCTTCCCCGTGACTCATTCCTGCCCGGCCACAGTTTCCACCCTCGCTCGTTCCCATTGCTCCTCCATACCCAGATGGAATTTCAGGAACCGAAGGGCAGCTGGTTTTAATCCCAGCGCGATTCCAAACGGATTCCGGGAACGCCTGCTTTTGTTTGCTTACCGCCTGCCGCCAACGTCACGGAGCAGCCATCCCTCAGAGCACCAGGATGGTGCTGGGCAGCTCTCTTTGATGTGGCCTTTTCAGAAGGGGATGCTGAGAGCAACGTGCGTAAAAAGCAGGGACAGGAACTCTGAGGGCATCTAAATTGGTCGTTGGACAAGGAGCGCTCACGTCATCTTGTTTAATCTCACAACGACCCTCCAAGGTGGCGAATCCAGACTGGGGGACCATCACCAGGTTCTCCCCGCTTCTTAGAGGTAACCACGCTCAGAGAGGACCGCACCAAAGCCCCACAGACCGCGGGGAGCCACCGCCCACCCTCTGTCCACCAGCCTGTAACAGTTATTTATACAAGAAACACTGCTTAGTAACAGGGTGGTAAGGGCCACTTTACAGTTCAGCCACAGAGGGCGTGGGCCGCAGACAACTTTCTCGACGAGTGCTCTAAGAGCTATTTTCAATCCGCTCTCCGTCACTGATATATGGTGTCTGGCAGAGAAAAAATGGCTGCTCTCGGGCCCAGCTCCCTCCCCAGAAACTTTGACTCTAAAGCAGCAATTCTGATCACTCTGAAATTAACCCCAAGCTCAACATCAAAAGGCAGAGTCTGGAGAACAAGATTTCTACTCGGAAAACATTGACCTTGATGACACACAGTCAAATACACATGTCTGGGGTGGGGGGAGTGGGGAGAAGGCACAAAATAATTAAGAGGGGGGTTGGGTTG